CATTTTTTTTTTAGAAATTCATTCATTGAGTTCTGACACCAATTCTATGAAGTATTTAATATTATCTGTAAAGAGAAAAGGGAACTGTGTGGGAGGGAAGTTAAAATCTCACCCAAGATCACATAGTCAATTAGTAGTACCACCTGAATGAAAATTTAGGTTATATTGTCTTTGCCTTTAATGGCTCTAAATTGCCCTACTTAGGCAATAGAGGGCAAGGTAAGATTTAACTACATATTATTTCTAAGCATTACTGGCTTTAAAAGGGCTAAATATTTATTTCCTTCTATATATAAGAAGTAAGGAAGAAAGAACCCAACCATTTTAATGACTTGATCATGTTCTGCGTTAAAGGCTTTTTTTCCTTTGTTGTACTCAAGAACATTAGTATATGGTGACCTTTTCCAGGCTATATTCATGCTCTAAAGCCATTTCTGGTGATTATATGATTGTGTGATTTTATTTTATGTTTTAGATTCTAGAGACAGGAGTTGGTAAAGTTTGAACTACTGGAAATGATGCAGTCTGAGGGGATCTTGGGTTGATTTTAAAAACTTCAACTTGAAATACTGCTTAAAGCACTATTTCTTCATAATTGATATCATTAAATTTAATTAAGAGATGTATGGCAAGATTTCTCTTTCATTCACATTCTTATTTCCTCATTCTAAAATCTTTGACATCTAGGCTGAAGATATGCTGAAAAAGTACTTTGAGTCCATGGATGCTGTGACAGATAAACTTCTAAAGATGGACCAGTCATTCACAGAAAAGGAAAAGCAGATTGAAGGTGAGAGAAATTATTGGTATGTGATGCACTATTGGGCCATATGAGAACATTGTAGAGAAGAATGACAAATGTCTCTCTTAACTTCATAGTAGCTGTTTTTAGACTGGTAGTTGTGGCCATCTCCATCCTTATTAACTGGCTTTTAGGGCAAAGATTCTACAGGAAATTTTTGTCAATGATAAGATTTTTTTTCCCCTAAAGTGGTAAAAGACAAAAACAGCTAATAGTTTTCATTTTTTGTATTCTTTATTTTTTATTTTCTCAATGGAACGTATAAAGGCCGAAGCTGCAGAGGCTGCAGAGGATTGAAGGAAATTCAAAAGGAGCATGAGCTGATGATGTAAGAGAAGGAAAAGAGTTACCAGTAGCACGTGAAACAGCTGACTGAGAAGATGCAGCAAGTATGGGAAGAGTTAATGGCAGAGAAACAAAAAATCATATCCCTTAAACTTGAGGTACCTGGCTACACCATTTCAATTTTCAGTTTCTGCAGTCAATCAGCAATGTATACCAGGAGCCTGAAGCATTAGGTTCACAAGACCAAGGCTTGACTGGATTGTAAATGGAGACCCTGTATCACCCTCGCCCCTGCGAGGTTACAAGGGTAATAACACAAAATCCCCTAAAATAGAGAGAATCATTCACATTCTCTATTATATTCTCATCACCCACTGCTTTTTCTTGGGCTACCTCTGGCCTTTTAAGTTTACCTATTGCTGGAAGAAATCATGGTATCTCTATTAAACAGTAGTTTCGACTCATAGATCTTCTTCATGTGTTTTATAGGATTTCTGTGACTGAATCTTCAACTAATCTGTCAAAGATTATTTTTTTTCTCATGTGCTAGATGGAGATGTTGTACTTTCTGCATGTAAAATGACTTTCACATAAAAATATATGATATATCATATCCAAATCCTTTCTTTTCTACTGAGTGGAGCCCAGTCCTGCCGCACCTAGAATGATCTTATCTCTGGAAGCATCCTAAAGAGTACAGACAGTCCCAAATCATCAAGAAAATGGTTAAATACTCATAGGGTCAGGAACATCCTGTTTTCTGGGCATCCCTCCACATCTATACTTAGGCTTCATGGCTGTTAATAAAAAGGCATGTGAGTGTCACAGACCATAGTTGCTTGAATAGATTTCTTCTCCTGTCTTGGACACTAAAATTTTGGACATGTGCTACATTCCTTGATTGAATGCTTGTCCTAACTATGAATGAGGCAGTAAGCTTCCACTTGGGTTTTTTTTTCTTTCCCATTTTTATTCCCTTCTTAGATGTGTCTGTGAGTCTACATCACACAGGTAAGAGATGAGGCAAGAAAGAAGAGGGAAGCTGGTGTTGATTTTATACAAAAATGTGTTTTATGTGAGTCCAAGGATCCTATAATGGAACATGAGAGTTGTGGGCTACTGGTGTTTCAGAACTTTTAGACAGCATTTCTAAAGGTGGAGAAAGCATAGGAAATCTATTGCTGTAAGTAGGAGACAGTGTAGAGAAATTATGGACATTAAGGAAAGAAAAGATTTTGAGAAAAATGTTAAAATGCTCTCTGAGTGCTTAGTGTAACTTTCAAAGGAGAGCTTGTGAGACACTCTGAGGAATGTGGGAAGCTGTCTCAGTCTCCATCTCCATTTTAGGAACAGGAATGGCTTCTCAGGTAATGATTTCAGAAACTTCTTCAAGAGATGGAGAATATCAAGAGCACTAAGCAACCTTCTGCATGCACCATACTCTAAAGTTCAAACCAACTTCATCTCTGCACCTAGCTCTTACTCATCAAGGAGTTTTCTGCTGGGTCATCTTTGAACAACTTGACATTGAGCTATACTATTGTGCTTTATTGGGAGGAGGGTAGGAAAAAAATCAACAAAGTGAAGTTTAAGTATAAAAATAGTGTTTTGATTATGAATTCAGTTCATGTTTATATTAGAACTAAAGAGTAATATGATTTTAATTGGTTCTTATATTTGAAATTGTAAAATAGACTCCATTAGAGGTGCTAAACTATATAATTGGAATTTTTTATTGCACAGTGACATGGCAGGTCTCTTTGGGTAGACCTTTTGTATCATTCACACAACCTTTTGGATATGCTTCGCTGAATGCTCACAAGCAATTAAGGATTTCTCTTTGTCCTAAGCTGAGACTGGCATGTTGTAAATGTGAGGAAAATGTGAACATACCCATAGGATACAGTGGAGATTCACACCTGCTCTGTGCCCCCTGGATTTCATGATGTTTACAGACAAGGGAATCGTGGACCTTGATATTTGTCCCAAGTGTAGGTACTAGATACTGAGCAGTTCTCAATGTGGGAAGGCTGTCCATCTGCTGAATGAGTAGAGAAGGACCATAGGGCAGTGGTAGAGAAAATTTCCCTTCATGCAGAAGTTTCCCCTCCCCTGTTTAGAGGCCTTTTTGCCTTGTATCATGCTCCAGCCAACTATATTTCCTTTCTAACCTTCTTCTTTTTAATAGTTTAAGTTTTTCTCCTTTTTACAATTTTAGAATGGCTTCTACAACCACAGAATAGGGAACTCAAAATAAATTACTTTCTATTCTTCCAAGGATCATAACCACAGTCCCACCTGTTCTGAAACTCATCTCTGCTTTTATCTGTGTCCCATTACTATGACACTATGACACTGAAAATTTCAGAGAATAAATGCCTTCCCCAACAAAGCAGAAGCACAGGTTAAGTGAAATCTGTTAATAAAAATGGTCAGCCTACTGTAATTTTTTCAAATGTTGCTGTACCTTGTTCATAAAGTGAGAGAATCCTCTTCTCAATTTTAATAAGCAGGGAGTTGATTTGACGAATATTAGCAGTCACAGTTACCCACTGTGTGACATTGGATCTGCATATTAACATTCAGAATAAAAGCACCACACAAAGAAAGTGCTGAAGTTGTGGGTCTCACCACTCTCATGGAATACAGAAACACAAAAATACTTTCAATATAATTCTTTTGCTTTTGTTGGCCTCAAACCTAGGGCTCTGATGGACGCAAGTCTGATGATATGTTAACTTACAGAATAATAATGGCGGTGGTACAGCGTTCCCTCAATATGCTTTTGAGGGCTTCCTCTTGTAAGTGGAAAACAAGAATCAGGCCTATTTTCTGATTAGTGTTAGGTCAGAAGGAACATTTTAAGTTCTGGTCAGTGAATAGACCAGCATGAGGGTTAATTAGATGTCTCCCAGTGGCCATTTCCAGCCTGGTGGCACATTCCAAAGGCTCACAGGCCTCTCAGATGTCATTGCCACTCAGGAGCTTAGAGAAATGGCTCTGATTCACTACTCTATAAGAAAGTAGGCTACAAAGAAGACCAGAGAACCTGCCCCTCAGCTTAGAAACAATGTGCCTCAAAGGGCTGGAAAACCGGCCCTTCTACCTTAGAAACAAACATGCTATGGGGTGACTGGAAATCTGACCCCTAAGCCTAGAAACAAACACAAAACCCTTTTTTGTTTACCTCTAAGATCCACATGATTGACTAATATTCAAGTGGTGCTAAATTGTTTGGGGATTGTATAAAGTTAACACATTTTACTAGTTCAAAAGGAAAACAAACCAGCTGATTTCCAGGCATTTAAGATGTTTAAAAGAACTCAGAATCACTTTCACTTTCAGTAATACTCTCTCCCGCCCTCCCTCCCTCCTTCCCTCTCTCCTTTCCCTTCTCCCTCACTGTTCCTTCTAACTCTACCCTTTTATTTCTTTCCGTCTCTATTCATTCTTAGTATAGAGAAATGGATTTTAAACAAATTCATAGTCTACTCCAAATTGCACAATCTCTTGCTACTTTTGTGTATCTCAGTGGGAGGGGGCGGTAGGGGTGGGGCAAATTCACAAAACAAACAGGGATGGATCCAAAAGGACTGAAAGGTAGCAGGGAGTGACTCCAGAACCAAGCCCTCCTCAGTAAATGCCTAACCTTAGCTTTCTAAACTTTCACAAACACTCTGGAGTTGAGCACAGCATTTATCAGCCTCTCCCTGGTTAATCTGAGGCCTTCACATTAGAACACCCCTCACTTCTAAGTGGTTGAGTAATTTCTTCTGTTGAGCGTTTTCTACTTTCACTTTCATCTTCCTAAACACAGCTCCTCCTAAATTCTATGATGAAAATCTGGAACTTCCTAGGCTATTGCAGAGGGTGGGGAGCTCACAGTGCCCGTGAAAAGGAGAGCGTGCTCTGTAGTCAGACTCAAAAGCAAAGCAGACAGCAGCCTACACTACTACACTTCACAGGCTGCTTTCTCTAGGACAAAAGGATTTGCTTCAGGTAAGAAAGAGGTGGAGGTGGCTTCACTGGATGGCAGCTTTACCCTAACAAGACCTCTTCAAGGGAGCCTGAAACAGACCAGTAAGAGTGGGACGATTATTTGAAACCCAGGGTGACTGATAGAGGCAGCTTTTACTCTTAGTGTCCAGGCCCCCACTATGGTGAATTAATTAGGCTCTGGTAAGGGGGAGTCCACAGAGAGGGTGTGAGTTTTTGAAGGATGCTATTGCTTTTGTGACACCATTTTAGACCATTTTTAGAGTATAACGAAACTCAGACAAAGTCCCTCTACTTGTTGCCAAGGTTACACTATTGGTAAAGTAAGTTAGGCTGCTTGGGGTTTGTAAAAAGAGACAGTTCCCCCACTAATAAATTTAGGAAGTTATATAATATTTGTGTATTTAAAATATATATATGTGTGTGCATGTATGTATATATGTATGTGTGTGTGTGTATTCATTCTTTGAGAATTTCATACATGGAATGTGTTTTGTTTTGAATTGTATATATTCCCTACTCTTCCCTCCACCCACTCCACCCCTCCAGCTCTTTTCTCTTCCCAGTTTCATCTCCTCATTGAGTCACAGTATTGTGGGTCATTTGGGTATGGGTATAAGGCCACCTACTGGAGGTTGGGTAAATTACCAGAGACCACATCACTAAAGAAAACCAGTCCTCTCTCCCTCAACTGCCAAAACCTCCTAAGCGACACACGGGCTTCTTGAGCCTCTCACCCACCCACCCATAGTGGAGTTTTGGCTGCTGGATTTTAGGCAGGGTTTCTTTGTTCTTCTTGTTGTTGTTTGAGACAAGGCTTCTCTCTGTAACCCTGGTTGTCCTGGAACTCTCTCTGTGGTTCAAGCTGGCCCCAAATTCAGAGATCTGCCTGCCTGTGCCTCCAGAGGGCTGGGACTAAAGACAAGTGCCATCACCACCTGGTTTTATGCAGGTTTTCTAGAGGCGGGCACAGCTGCTGTGACTTCATGAGTTCAAAGATGTTATCATGTTCCAGAAGACACTGGTTCACCTCAAGTAATAAATGCTATTCCGTGTGTTATTTTGATATAAGCACCACTGTGCCCTGAAAGGAACCAAAGCTTTGAGAGGAACGCTCAACTCTAGGGCATCACAACATGGAATCCAGCTGAAGGAGGCTCAGTGAACACAGGAGACATGCCAGGCAACAAAATAAGAATGATCACAAAATACTAAGGCACACGGAATGGAATAAACACCTAGGAGTCCACACTCGTGCAACCAAATGAATGAATGAATAAATGACTATAAGTAGGAGCAATGCTCCTTTTCACTGTAGACTTCGAATTAATAAGTACGTGGCATGATAAGAGTGGACAGTAATCTTTCAGCAAATGTTCTAGTGGTTAATTTAGAAGCTTGGATTATTGGTTGATGCTAAAAGTAGTGACCAAAGCCCATGGAATATAATGGAGCTACATGTGCTGACTTTCAAATGGTCACCTTCAAATTCTCCTCTTGTTTTTGTTTCCACACTTTAAAAAACCCACTTTAATTACTGTATAATGTAATAGGCTTCATTAATCCATCTAAATCAATGTATATTTATTGTGTCTCACCCATATTTACCTCCCCAGAATACCCCACCCCTCCTCACTAAATTCCCTGGTGCTTTTCCTCTCTCCAAATAGTTCCTATCAAGCTTTTATGGAATGGTGTACACGTATTTATGCTCGTGTATCTAAGAGCGAAATGTGTGCTATTGTAAGGAGGAAGGTTTTTTTCCTCCCGCCGCCACACCAGCCCCAAATAACACAGAGACTCTGTATTTGATATAATTCTGTTGGCCAAGTACTAGTTTCTTATCGGCTAGCTCTGTCTTAAGTATTAGCCCATTTCTATGTATTTCCACGTGGTCTTACCAGGGAGAGGCAGCTGGCGGTTCTGCCTTCTCCAGACTCTCCACCCTGAGTCCTCCTTACTCCTTCCTCTCTCCTCCTTGTCTCCTAGTCCCACCTACCTTCCTCTCCTATTGGCCAGCAGTGCTTTATCCATTAACCAATAAGAGAAACATATTTACAGAATGATATCTCCCATCATGCTACTGTGTCTTTGTTTCTCCTGTCATACTTTTTCTCTTTTTTCATCCATCATTATCTCTCGCTTCCCTTTGGAACTATTCCTGCTTTCTCATTCTTGCTCTTCTAACTTCATGTGTGTCTGAACACATATTTATAAACGTAAATTTAACTGTATATTCAAGTTTAGATTTCATGAATGAGAGAAAATATTCAATGCTTCTTTTGCCGAGTCTGGCTTAACAGGTCTGTCTATTATTCCTGCAAATTATATACTTCATCCTTCCTTAATCATATATACGTGTGTGTGTGAGTGTGTGTGTGTGTGTGTACATATATACTGACATACACACACATACATTCATATATACATACATATACACACATATCCAGGAGTGGGTTATCTGGTAGTTCTGAGTTTTTTGAGGAACCTCCATACTTTCCACTGTAGTTGTACCACTTTACATTCCCACCGTCAATGGATAAGGGTTCTCTTTCCACACTCTTGGAAGCACTTTTTATTTTTTTTTTCTTTATGCTACACATTATCTGTGGTGTGAGAGGGAACCTTGATGACTTTTAAACTTGTTTTTCCCTGGTAACTAAAACCTTAGATATTTTTCCAAATATTTACATGCTGTTTGAGTTGTAATTTTGATTACAAAACAGTAAACAGTTCTTGGCAGGTTGCCTCTTAACCAAGAGGCCACATTCAAAAGAGTAATATCAGAGCAAGTCTTGTCAGCATCATAAACCCTGTGATTGGATCGATCAAAGAAGATCACAGAATACCAGTCTTGTCTCCTTTTTGCCCAGTATTTACCAATGTAATTTCAAACCAATGAAATTTCAAATTTCAAAGAAAACAACTAAAAAATGTAACTGAAAGGCACTCTACAAACTGACTGTGATATACTCTTCTAGGATACTAAGTAAGAAGGATAAAGAAAGAGTAAGGGCCTACTGAAGATGAGAGGCAGCTAAAGAGATGTGAGGTTTAATGGGGGAATCCTGGATTAGATCACAAAGAAGAAAAAGGACATTAGTAAGAATCTTATTTAAGATAAAGTGGAGGTATCACATGCAGCTTCAGCAAGGGTGTTGTAGAAAATCTGAGAGCCTAGTCAGATATTACACTGAACATATATAAGATAGTAGGATTGGAAAAAACTGGGCAAATGGTATATGTAGCCTTTTGAACCTACTATACAGCTTTTCTGTTTGTCTATGAACCTCAGATTAGTTGTATTTAAATAGAAGTAGTGAGCCATCTATAGGATAGCCATAAAGAGCACCCCAGAATTTTTAGAAGTATATAAAGACCATATAAAGAAGGAAAATTTTAGTACATACTATTTCCTTCTTCCAATTGACTAGAAATTGCTGTTCAACTACCTTCTCCTTAGAGACAAAAGAACACTCTAAACATGGCCTCAGAGATCCACATGCTGGAACCCATGTGTCTCATTGAGAACACCGAGGAACAGCTTGTCATCAATCAACAGGCTCTAGGGATCCTGTCAGCCATCAAGCAGCCAGTGGTGGTGGTGGCCATTGTGGGCCTCTACCGCACAGGAAAATCCTACTTGATGAACAAGCTGGCTGGGAAGAAAACAGGTGAGTGCCACCAAAGCATCTGTGCTTGTTCCTTTCTGTTCACCCATGTAGCCAGCATCCTAAAAGCAGATGTGAGGAAAGAATGTCAGAGAGAGCAAAGAATATGAAAAGATAATGTCTACCCACTATTGGAGTTCCTTTTTGTTGAATTATCCCCTACTCACTGAACAGCACATTTGTTTTCCAATTGAAAGTGGTAGGTATGTTTTAGTTAAAGAACATACATTCATTGAGAAAGTTAACTTCCTTAATGATGAATTAGAAAACATTCATTAGATTGTCTACATAGGAGGAACATATGTCTAGCACTAAGGACTGAATGTATTTATCAGTATTAGATATTACAAGTACCCTCTTTGTAGGGTAGTAATTAAAGTCAATACTTGAAGTTGTTTTCCTCTTTCAAATACAACTACGTTAGTTTTCAACTTGACATCAGTAGCAACATTATCTAATCCCCTCCCCATCCCATGCCCATTCTGCTCTGCAGGATTCTCCCTGGGTTCTACAGTGCAGTCTCACACCAAGGGCATCTGGATGTGGTGTGTCCCTCATCCCCAGAAGCCAGACTACACCCTAATTCTGCTTGACACTGAGGGCCTTGAAGATGTTGAGAAGGTAAAAATAAATCTTTCAGATTCTATTTGTAGCTTACTAATAGCTCACCTTGCAATACCTATCCAACTCCAGATTTGTGCATTTAAATAATTAAATAATGTTCTATTCTTCAAGTTGTTTTAAAAGCCAAGAATAGCATATTAGTACTTAGATGATAGCTAATGATATTTTAGTCATTTTTTTTCACACCAAAAGAGAATTTTTGGTCAAAACTCGAATGACACCCTGAACTTACCTGTACACATTATAAACATGACTTACTATATTCAGTGTGGTACCATGATAAAATACAATGCTTAACATTCTCAAAAAAGTGAAATATGTATTAAAAGAATGGTCATTAAATCTATAATGGCTCCCTCTTTTATGGTATCTCTTTTCTTGTTCTCCTCTATTCTTTCCCTGTCTCAATCTTCCTGTTCTCTCATGCCCACCTGTCCCCTCCACTTTCTCCTAACTCTCTCACCCTCCCTCCATGCTCCCAATTTGCTCGGGCAATCTTGCCTTTTGCCCCTTCTCCAGGGGACCATGTATGTCTCTCTTAGGGTCCTCCTTGTTTCCTAGGTTTTCTGGCCATGTGAAATGTAGGCTGGACAGACAAGGGAGGGCCTAGGTCCTGCCCCACATGATATGACAGCCCCATTGAAAGCCTCACCCTCCCTGGAGAGCAGAAAGAGGATGGGGTGGGGTTTGGTGGGGGTGACAGGAGAGGATGGGAGGTGAAGGAACTGGGATTGACATGTAAAACAACCTTGTTTCAAATTTAAGTAAGGAAAAAAAAAAAGAGACAGAAGTAAAAAAGAGAATTCTAAAAAAGAAAAAAAAAAATGGTCATTTCCATGTAAGACTATCAGTAAGAGAATGACAGTGTAAGATCTACAACAATATCCTTGTTCATTGAGAATCACATGTTACTACTCTTCCCAAGCTGAGACAAATAATAAAAGTCTTGTTGAAGGACCTTACTTACACTTGTGCTTAAATATCCTTTGCCTTACCTTAATATGTCCTGTGAATAAAGCTCAGGATGTCAGTTTAGATTTAACCACTGATCAACATTATGACGTTTAAGTGTGGAGGTCTTTCATGCTCTCATGTACACAGTTGTACATTGTCTTATTTAAATTGTAGAGCATGAATTGAATATTCATAAAATCATTGAACAGGTAGAAAATATTATGTAGAAGCAATGACTTACTTTTGATGCCATAGCTAACATGGGGCAGATAAAGGCTCATCTTTGGCTACTTGAATTGATGGACAGTCTCTTAGTCACTCTTCTTCACTCACTGACCTGCAGGGAGACAACCAGAACGACTGCTGGATCTTTGCCTTGGCTATTCTCCTCAGCAGCACCTTCATCTACAACAGCATAGGAACCATCAACCAGCAGGCCATGGACCAGCTGCAGTATCCTTTTGATGTAGTCTAGAAGAACAGCTTCATCATTTCATCAGATAGATAGGCAGACAAGGACCTTAGCATTTCTAAGTCATCAACCAATCCCTTTATACTTATCATGTGAGTTTGCCAGTTTCCACTACAAGTTCAATCCCCTTAAGCCACACATCGCCATCAACATAGTAACACACTGTTGAGAGCATCCCGATTTAGGTCAATAGCCTGCATTTGTCCAAAATCTTGACATGATGTAGAACCCATTTTCTTAATAATTGCAATTATCATTATGTCTAAATGTTACTTATCTCCTGACTACTCACAAAATGCTATAGGCAATATTTATCCTGCAAACTCATCAAAAGATCTGAGATGATGATTGTTTTTTTTTTTTTTTTTTTTGCCTGTACCTTTAGTGTCAGTCAACTGTGCTTCTCCAATCTACAGCTCAGTCAATTGTTCATTCTTCTGACATTGGAAAGATGATTTCCTTAGATGCCAAGGCGCTCACACCCATCCATCACCTTTCTTTGTAGTCTTTTATCAGCCCCCTGCCACACAGCCTTCTTTTGCTAAAGATTTTAAGATCTAATGTTGGGAGACTGGTAAACAATTGACACCAGTTTTCATTATTCTCTCCCAGTTCTCTCTCCTCTTATATTTTCCCTCTACTTTCCCAATTATCCACCCATGCCATTATCAGTGCTGCAAGAATTCCTATGAACTTAACTTTGGGTATCATACTGTATTCTTTTTCATATCACTATGCTCATTCAGAAGTCATATTATTTCATCTCTTATGGGCATTTCAAAAATCCTTTTCTCTCTCTCTCTCTCTCTCTCTCTCTCTCTCTCTCTCTCTTCCGAACCACTTGGTTCTTGCATCTAGAACTTCATAATTTTCTAATATTCTACTTTCTTCTCTGGCAAACTGTTCATTGCCTTTGTGTACTCTGAATATCACAGCTCATTAGTTTCTGTACTTCTCTTTATTCTCTACTCTTGGTCCCTAGGCAATATCATTCTGTCCAAAGGGCTTCTGTGCAGCTATATTTCAGTCACCATCAAATATCCCACATGTTCCACAAAGTTGCTCTGATAAAAACCTTAGACATAATCTTGATCTGTTCCCTCATACCCTAGAAAGTATTAGTTCACACGTGTTTTAAACTCTATCAGCAAATCTACTTCTCTAGATCGACCTCCATATCATCTCTCCATCATCTCTAGTCTACTTCCTTTCTAGACTGACCTCCTTATCTTCAAACTTGCATATCCTGGCATGTATTTCTTTAGCTCTTATACTCTGTGCACCAGAGTTCATGTATATGTCAGACATACTCATGTTTTTCAAGCAAAGGGATTTGACTATTATCTGGAATGTTCTCCAAGTAGAAGTTTCAAAGTTTTCATTTGTGTGTGTTTGTGAAAATCATGTGCTTGTTAAGACCAGAGGTTTCATATTTCTTGAAAGTTGAGTCTGGTAACTGAACTCATGTCCTCTGCAGGAACATTAATTGTTCCTAACCACTGAGCAATCTCTCTGGCCTCTCCACTGGAGCTTTCACAGATGACTCCTCTAATTCCTTTAGATTTCTGATAATCAAGGACTTCAGAAAGCACATGAAGCTCTCTGAGTAACAAAGCATACAAGGTTATTCTCTAGTCTTTAGGCTAAGACCTTTTGCTACATCAAAATGGTAGTAAATATATAAGATTTTAAAAGATTTTATCTACTTGTTTTTGTTCCTGTATTCATCTGTTACAATGTAAACCCTATGATGGTAGTACCCTTTCATTTATTTTAAAAATTTTTATGTGAAACTGTGCCTGATTCATATCAGGGTCTCAACAGATGTTTGCAAATTATTGAATTCTGTCAATGAATGAGCTATATCTTTGTTTCCTTCTTGCTGCTGTGGTGAACATTATGACCCAAATCAACTTGGAGATGAAAGTGTTTGTTTGGTTTACAGGTTAGAGTCTAGCATCAAGGGAAGTCAAGGTAGAAATCCAGAAGCAGAGACTAGAGCAGAGTCTGAGAAGGACCTCTGCTTACTGGGTTGTTTCTTGTGGCTTACCTGACTACTTTTCTTATACAACTAAGGACCACCTGTCTAGGGATGACACCACACACTGGGGGATGGGGCTTCTTACATCAATTAGTAATTGAGAAAATGTCCCCACAGACTTATCTTCAGGCCTGGCTGATAGAGTAATTCCTCAGTTGAAGAATTTACTCAGTTCACATTATTTTTCTTCCCATGTATCTTCAGTTGTGTCAAGTTGACAAAAACTAACCAACATAGCTAAAAACAAAAATAAAACTTGGAGGGGGGGGCACTGGTAGAATATTTATCATAAAATAGTAAACTTGTTTTTATGGTTTTCTTAATTTAACATCTCAGTTATGTGACAGAGCTGACTGATCTAATCAAGTCAAAGTCATCACCTGAAGAGAGTGAGGTAGACGACTCAGCTAACTTTGTAGGCTTCTTTCCAACCTTTGTGTGGGCTCTGAGAGATTTCTCCCTAGAGCTGGAAGCTAATGGAAAACCTATCACTGCTGATGAATACCTGGAATACTCGTTGACCCTGAAAAAAGGTACCTGGGATAGTGGAATGTTCTGATACAAAGGGAAAGCAATCTCATAGATGTCATTTCTGCACAGTTGACAAAGGCCTCGATTTTGTAACCATGTTATCCTAACAGTTGTTGTAGGAAATGAAACACAGCTTCACTGAATCATTTGTACTCCATGGGAAATTTCACAAGCTACTTCTTAGAAAAAGGGTGTTTCCTTTCCTATTCCTTCAAGTTTGTGTCATTCATCTATATTAGGTGTTTTTCAGCTTACATGGGCTTTGTGGGAGTTATGGAATTGGAAGTGTCATATATTGAAGCAATTCCTTTGAAGTTTACTATATCTAATTTTCATTTTTTTTCAGGATCTGATAAGAAAAGTAAAAGCTTTAACGAGCCTCGGCTGTGCATCAGGAAGTTCTTCCCAAAGAGGAAGTGCTTTGTCTTTGACAGGCCTGCTCAGAGGAAGTATCTTTCCAAACTAGAGACAATTAGAGAAGAAGATCTGAGTGAGGAATTTGTACAACAAGTTGCAGAATTCACCTCATACATCTTCAGCTATTCCCATGTCAAGACTCTGTTTGGTGGCATCATAGTCAATGGACCACGTAAGTTATCCCCTGTACTTCCTCTCTGTGCTTCTTGTCTGCTCATTGTAGGATATGCCACTGAAAATGTAGTGCATGCATCACATGACAGCATTTACTTGGGAAATAAAGCCATTTCTCAGCATTTTATATCTGTAATAGCAAAAGGGAAATAGAGAAATAAACTAAAATCTAATCCAACCCTAGAAGCCTTTTCCCCTCACTCATGGTTCCTCCTGATAAAAACGATTACTCAAGTTAGAAAAATGAAAATTCCCTATATGGAATTTGCCACTACAAACTTTCATGTATATACCAAGTGTTTAGTAATGACTTTAAAGAGCCAACTATTTGGTTTAATGAGGCATAAAAAGATATGGCTTCCATTCTCATTTCAGCACAAGGACAACAGAAAAACACTTCAAAAGAAAGCATTACAACACCTACAATTCATAGTGATAAATAATGGTTCACAAAATTAATAATAAATAAAGAGTGGCTACATGGGAGCCAGAGGTCTAGTTGAGTGGGACATAAGTCCATGGGGACAGAGAACACATTGGGTTTTTTAAGTTGAGTAAGGTGAGAAGTTGCAATGAATAGGAGTTACTCACAAGGTCAGAGGATAATACCTGAGGTACTAATGTAACAGGAGAAGGCCCAAAGCAGAATACAACTTTCCATCTTCAAGAAAATAAGAGTCAAGTGACTGAGAGAAGAGAGTGAACGATAGAGTCCCCCATTGGAGAAGTGTGATATGGCAATGTCCTGAACGGGAATTACAGTTGGTTCTGAAATCTATGGAGGATTTAGCAAGCAGAGATTCTGGAGGACTAGGTTAAGTTTTCTAGTTTACATTAATAACTGTCTTAAATATTCTGCATACAACATATTATCATGTTATAAGGGTGCAGGGAAGTTGAGTGTGATGCTTTCAATCAATCAGCAATGTTATGAGCAAACCTAGATGGTTGGCTCATCTATGTACAGCTCTGTGGGAGGGTCTGGGTTGCTACATTTTTTTATCCTTTTTTATAGGATAGAGACATGACTAGAAAGATGTATCACTTTTTAAAAAAAACAACATCAAAATGAGTATAAAAAGCAAAACTGTAACTTTGGCTAATAAAAAAGTAATGAAGAATAAAAGGGTAAATTTATGAGAGGAAATAAACGGAGTGAGAAGAAAAAGGGGTAATAAAGAAACAAGATTTTATATCACAAGTCTCTTCTCCCAATACTGGAATCCACTCAATCAAACATCTATCTTTGGAATAAATGAAGGAATAAAACCCAGTAAGTTACTAAGTTGCTGTTCTTTCTCAGAGAATCCTGAAAACTGTCGAGTGCCCTTTCTACCAAATGACAGCCATTAACTTCTTTGGTAGGTCTACAGAGCCTGGTGCTGACATATGTCAATGCCATCAGAAGTGGAGAACTACCCTGCATGGAGAATGCCGTCCTGACTTTGGCCCAGATAGAGAACTCAGCTGCGGTGCAAAAGGCCATTGAGCACTACGAAGAACAGATGAACCAGAAGGTCCAGCTGCCCACGGAAACCCTTCAGGAGCTGCTGGACCTGCACAGGCCCATTGAGAGTGAGGCCATTGAGGTCTTCATTAAGAATTCTTTCAAGGATGTAGACCAAAAGTTCCAGAAGGAATTAGGGGTATGTGTGGTACCCAAAATCCTAAGACAAAGAAAATCATGGGCCTTTTTTGGAATGAACGTTGTCCTTAGTCTCTAATACAGAGACACTCAAATGATGTGTACAGATTTGCAATGGCTATAGAAGGATTAGATTCTGCTGGAGTTTGGTCAAAAAGCATGACACTATAACTAGTCATGTTTTGAACACCCATGCACACGTGTGCACACACATGCACATATTCCATTTTTGTCATTTTCCCCACTCTGGAAACCATGTTCTCAGACACTGAGGGAATTGCACAACTGCATTTACAAAGGATTGTTTCATTAACTTTTTCATAATATAATAGTTTCATTTTTTGAGAAGTTTAAATATGTTTTTTATCATATTCATTTCTAATGAAGTTTTTATTGTCAAGGAATTCACTGCTTTTGTGCTGTTCAGTAGTAATGAGAAATTAATCATGACATGGTTTATGGATGTTTTGCCACTTGATTAGTGGCGATGCTTCTCGGATGACTAAGGCTGGATTTCACAAAGGACATGTGGCTTCATTCAGAAGTTCTGGGGAAACATGGCAGTCAATGTAAAGAACACATTGACTACTCCCCAACCTAGAGGAGATACAGAAGTTGATATTTAGTTAGTTGTGTGATATCAAATAGATAGCTCTTCTGTTATTCTTTCCAAACACAGAAGAGCACAACATATCATCTTCAGTACTTTCTTTGTACAGTGAGAAAATATAGGGAACTATTCATGTGTTCAAGAGCATTACATAATCAATTAGCCTTTACTGAATGTTTCTTTAGCAGCTCTGGGCTTAGTACTCTGTATTAGCTCATACAGTCTGACAAGTAACCTCTGCGAACAGTGGTGTTACTCCACCCTTATAGACAAGGAAACATTAGTCTGCTAATGACATGTTCATGATGCCACAAAAAAACTGGGTTCAGGAAGACCACACAGGCTGGCCTATCTTTAATTTACAATCTGAAATATTCCTTCAGTGGATGACTTCAGTAGATAAGGGCTCCCCAAGAAGCAGTGTCTGTGCTCTGAGAATACCTCTGAAGAAGGTGAATAAAGAGCAAGACCTCAAGTGTTAATCACTGTAACGTGCAGCCTCCTTAGCGGTACCTTGAAGCTCACAGTGAGATGAAGAGCTTGGCCTCAATTAGACGTCTCCCAGTAGTCTATTGTGTTGTCTCCCCCCTTCAACCATCTGTGTGATTTTGTCCTTACCCAGGAGCAGCTGGTAGTGAAGCGAGATGCCTTTATCAAGAAAAACATGGATGTGTCATCAGCTCGTTGCTCAGATTTGCTGGAGGATATCTTTGGACCTCTGGAGGAAGAAGTCAAACAGGGAACATTTTCTAAACCAGGAGGTTACTACCTCTTTCTTCAAAAGAAACAAGAGCTGGAGAGAAAGTATAAGTGGGTTCCTGGAAAGGGGCTCCAGGTAAATTGAGTAGGTGGTACCATTTGAAGGTGCTTAGTGAGGAATCTCTTCCAAGTGACAATGAGAACAAAGACGGTGCCGTGGTAGTGGTGGAGAGAGCCCCTGTCTTACATCCATCTAAGCAATCAGCTAACTTTGAGACAGACAGCACCTTTCTCCTCAGAAGCACATCAGGACTTCTCAGAAATGTTTATGGAATTCATGTATTCACTCAACCATTCAGGCATCTAATCAGCTAATATGTTTTATTTGGCTTTGTGTATTAAGGGCTTCTCAGGTTGTTAGAGACAAGAGGATTAAGAAAAAAAAACAATTAAAAGTTATGTTCATTCAAGAATGAAGTAATTTTAACCCATTGACAAATGGTATTTAGCTATTAGCACTTAGATATCTCTCCCACTACTTTAGAAATTTATTGTCTTAATTCTCACACCCTCACACAAACCATGCATACTAAAGCAAAAGGTTCACTCAAGTTCACTCAGCTAAGGACCAGTAAGTCTTGAGTGCAGAGCCAAATAGCATCATCTGTATCCATCATTTCTACACTACTCTATTATGATAATAGAGTTTAAGATTAGGTTTGACTTTGTATTATTTATAAACAACAATGTCTTTTAAATGGCTAAATATTTCTTTTTCTCGTGAACAGTTAGCCGCATCCCCAAGAACCCAGTGCGGCTGTGGTGGCTTTGCCACCTTCTTGTTCATGGGCCTATCCCTTTGTTCTCTAGAACATTAGTCTAGGAACTCCATCTCCAAGCTGCATCCGTGCTCAGAAACAGCTGCTGGAGAGTCAAACTTTACTTCAAATTCATGCCTTGAAACAAAAAGGAGGGACAAAAGAAAAAAGGATGGTGCCTCAAGTCCTTTTAAAATTTTAAGGCACATTATGACACTTTTCTGATTGTATACTTTCCATAAGAATTTAATCCCATGGACATTCCAGACTTACAAGAGATACTGTAATTTACTGTTTTGACAAACTATGAGATAAAGATTTAACAAACTGTTCAAAGAAGTTAGAGAGAAAGAAAAGTGGCTATGTAGGAGATGGGGATTTCAAACAACAGAACAGGTCCTTAAGAGTAAATTAATATTTATTTGAGGCACAGCAAGAAATCTGATGTTCTGGAAGATAGTAAGCAATGCAGAGATTAGCAAGGAGATCATAATCCAGACAGAACATCTTAGAGGACACTGGAAAATTGATGAGCTATAACATCATCATTGAGCATTGGAATATTATGACTGTTTTTAAAATAACATGGCAACGTTCTGGTTACTCTGAGATAAACAGTCTGCAGTAATCAGGAAGCAAGAGCTGGGTCTGTGAGACTTGGATGAAACAGATGGTAAGCAAAAGACTGAGGTTACATTTTTTAAAGCTAAAACCATCATGATTGGCTCATGGTCCCATAAACAAAGAGATCAAAAATACAACTACTTCAAAAGATTTACTAGATTCTAAAAGTTGGGGCTATGGAAAAGATCAGATTTGGGGAGGGGGATCTCTAAGTCAGTCTTAGGTCCATTAAATGTAAGACACTATTTGAATTGCAAAATAGCTGGTAACACTAATATCAGTTAACAGACACATTGGCTTGTCTTCAACTTATTCCATCAAACCAGGCAGAAGAGATCCTGAAAAAGTACTTTGAGTCCAAGGACGACGTGGCTGAAACACTTCTAAAGACAGATCAGTCACTCACAGAGGCAGCAAAGGAGATTGAAGGTGAGAGCTGCTGAGACTCCAGTGGTTGGAAGCTCTTGATGCATTTAGCAACATTGGTCCACTTGAAATCACCATCACAGAGAAAGAATCACAAGTGTCACTCATGTTGGTTTGTTTTGAAACTGGTATATGTGGTTACCTGTTTCCTTATCAATTGGTTATTTCCTACAAACATCACCACAAGAAATTTTATCGATGACATGAAAATGTTTTTAAAGGAGATAAAAAGCAAAAACAACTCATAAAATTTAATCTTTGTATTCTCTGCTTTTCCTCCTCAGTGGAACGTATAAAGGCTGAAGCTGCTGAAGCTAACAACAGAGAGTTAGAAAAGAAGCAGAAGAAATACGAGCTGATGTTGGCAGAGAAGGAAAAGAGTTACCAGGAGCACGTGAAACAGCTGACTGAGAAGATGCAGCAAGAACGGGAACAGTTAATAGCAGAACATAACAAAATTATATCTCTCAAACTTCAGGTACTTGATCATATCATCTCAGTATGTTCCTGTGCGCCAATCGAAAATAAGTATATCAGGGCACTGAAATAACAGGTCAGTAGCTAAGGGTGTGTATTGCCCTTACAGAGGACTCAGGTCTACTTCTCAGCACACCGCACAGTGGCTACAACAGTCCATAGCCCTCCTTATGACCTCTGCAGAGACTGCACATATGTGTTACATTTACACATACCAGAAGCAAAACACTCATCCACTTAAAATATCACCAATAAATCTGAAAAGCAAACAAGGAAACTGGAATGCAATTTTATCGGTAGGCTGAGGCAGGAGAATGACTGGTTCCAAGTAAGTCACAATAAGACTCCTGCAATAAAGCGAATAGTTCAGATATGCTGATACATTTTCCTTCTCTCACAGCCCATCTCCAGCTGTGTCTAGTGAGTAAGAGCTGTTTATGTCTGGATGAAATCCTTTATGAGGCTATCCAAAGACAACAGCTAGGAATTAATTACTCAACACTGCTTATGTGCCTCCTATTTAACAACTCGGGACTACTATTTTGTGCTGGATGGAGACATTATAAATTTATCAAAACACATGATACAATATCCATCTTATTGTCTCCACTGAATGGAACCCATAGGAATTTCATTTTTGCCACACCTAATATGGTCTTGTCTCTGGAAGTATCCTAACGAATAGCAAGAATCCCTAACCATCCACCCACTCAAACACATTGTTAAGTACTCAAATTGCAGTTTTTTACTGCTATTCATGCATCGGTGCTGAGTCTCCATGGCAACCCAGACTATCTTGTGAGGACCTCAGACCCTAGTTGCCTCAATATGTTTCTGTCATCCAGCTCTGTCACTAATAGTTTGGACATGTGATAAATTCCTTGATTGAACACCTGTCCTGATTCTGAATCGAGTAGTAACCTTTCACTTACTTTACACCCATCTTTCTTACCTTACGTGTGTTTGAGAGTCCACACCACACACAAATCTGAGATAAGGCAAGAAAGAAGAGGGAAGCTGGCGTTTTTACAGAAAATGTATGTATTTTACATGAGTCAAAAGACCTAAGGATTGGAAGTGAGAGTTGTGAGCCACTAGTGTTTTAGGAACTGGTAGTCTTTCTAAAGCTGGAGAAAGCATAGGAAATTTATCAGCTTGCATAGGAAATAGGAGAGGGGACAAGGAGGGAGAGAATGGAAATTAAAGAAGGAAAAGGCTTAGAAAAAAAACCCACCAAAATTCTTCCAGCTAATTAGCATTAACTACCAAAGGAGAGCTTGTGAGACCTTCTGAGGAACTTGGAGAGCTGTCTGAGTTGTCTCCACCTCCATTTCAGGAACAGGAGCGTCTTCTCAAGGAAGGATTTCAGAATGAGAGCAAGAAAATTCATCAAGAGATCCAGAGCATCCGGAATAGGCGCCCAGCTGGGAAATGCACCATACTCTGAAGGTCTGAGATCCAGCTGACTGTCTCTGACCAGCTTCCTTTCATGCAGGAATATGTTGACTGAGAACCTTCAGGGTTTGAAACAACTGTTATTAAATTAACTTAACTCACCTGAAAATCACCTGTAACTCCAGTTTGTGGTCATTGATTGACACTGGGCAGTGTTGGAGGAGGTTCCTATCTGCACAGGATGCATGTATGAATGGAAGCTCTGCCTTGGGTGTTTTAGAAGTCCTCCTGATGTGCTCCATGCCCAGCCTGCATTCGTTTCTCTTTATATCTTAAAGTTTTCTCTTTTCTACTGTATAGTGTCTACAATCAAAAGCAGAGGACTTTTAATTAACTCTTTAAATTAATCCCTTTTCATTCCTTAAGTACTTTTTTTTTAATTACAGTCCTTCAAAAACTAAACCCTACCTCCATTTCCCCTTTTGTCTCCCTGCTATGACATCCTAGTTTGAAGTTTTTCAGTATGAATATTTTGCACAAGTTAATAAAAAGCATTAGCCCACCATAATTGTTCAGAATATGTATTTTATTTGTGGTTCATTAAGGAAATAACAGAATCTTCTAATAAACTAAAAAGTCACTTATTTTTTAATATCATTGGGTGGCACCCAGACACTCCAGGATATTAGGATGCCTGCTCTCTGTCTATTTCATTAAGAATAATGCCACCACACAAAGATAATGTTGAAGTCGTGGGTCTCATCTCTCCCAAGGCATGCAGAAACAAAACCAACTTTCTTATGCTTTTGGCTGGTGCTCATATCAAACCCAGGCTGTGACAAGGCACTTTAATTAAACATTAACTCACAGAATAACATCACTGTATGCAATGTTTCCTTAATATAGGTTTGAATGCAACCTGGTAGCACTATGTATGTTCATAGAAATGGTTCAGTATCTACAGCTGGGGAATCAAAAATCCTGTTTGTTTCTTTTGTTAGATCAAATGCAGGGTTTTAGTTACTATTCGGTGGGTAGAGCAACCGGGGAGTTGACTAGGCACAGGAAATGTTGTGTGGGAAATGAAAACCTTAATTAATTTGAGTTTATAAGTTGATTCACATGCCGATTTTCTATTTTATTCAAAGTATGTGTTATAGCACTGGTGGTTGTAGCTCAGTGGGTAGAGTGCTTAACAAGCGTGCATGAGGTCCTGGGTTCAAGTGTTGCCCTAACCTGGTGAGATGGCACATGCCTACATGCCTATAATCTCTGCAGACAGGGCAAACAGGAAGATCAGGAGTTTAAGGTCTTCCTCTGCTACATAGTGAGTTCAAAATCAGCCTGGGCTAGAGACTTGCTTCAACAAACAAACAAAAAACAATGTGTATTATTGGTGAAATGATCTACCTGCCTTGTATATTTGTGAAAAGAGATGTCCTTTTGGGTCCCCTGACCCCTTTTGTGAATGATAGGCACTGATAAATATAGTATGGTTTTGCCTTGTTGCTAAAGTAGTAAAATAACACACACACACACACACACACACATTGTACAGGAAAGATTTGTCTAAAGGGAACACCCCAGGTTGTAGGGCCTGGCATCCAACCTCTAAATGAAACGTGAGGAGCCTTCCAATGGCAGTCTGGAGCGAACGCTACCTCCATTCCATTTTTATATTCTTGGTAAATACTCAGTGCTCTCCCTGTTCTTCTCCCTCTCCCTATGAAGAGCTTCCCCTTCAGGTTGTTCACATCTCTGGATAATCCCTACCCAGCATCTATATAGCAGAACTTGAGTCATAAGTCTCTCTTTGGACTACTCTGTGAGAATAGTGATCTCTCTCCCATTTTGGAAATGGAAACTCATTGGGAACTGTAGCCCATTCATGTTACAGCAAATTAGGTTCTCTCGGGAGATCCTCTGGAGATATGTCCCAGCACCCTATAGTAGAAAGTTTCATTCCCATTTCCTTCGAGATCACAGACAGCAAACTAACATTCCTCATGCCATCATTCAACATAGTTTGTACTGTTTCATTGCATATTCAAATGCATTATCATTCTTTCATTTAATCCTAGCTTTTAAACGATGATAGTTAACAAAGCCTTAAGACAATAACAAAATATATCTCCCACCTTATAATTACAAAATAACCTAGTTGTACACTTTCAAGAGGTATTTTTACTCCTCAACACAGCCATTGTTTTAATTTTAGCATTGTTAATATTCTGTATCTATTCCTGTGCAGGAAGAAAGAATACTTGTTCTTTCCTAAAATGCCTCTGTAACTTTATCAAATTATTATTTCCTATTAGTTCACAATCAGTCTTCTTCTTCTCCTCCTCCTCCTTCTCCTCCTTCTTCTTTTTCATCTTCTTCTTCCAGAATCCAAAGAAAAAATATGCACTTCATCAAAGTTAAAAAAATTTCCCCCAAATTTGGTTTGAACTTCCCCCACTTCTTTCCACTTTTCTCTCAGTTGCCATTCATTCATATGACTTGAGAGATTCTACTCTATAAGTAAATAGTGATGGCGGGCCAGTTGCACAATGGATAACACGTCTGACTACGGATCAGAAGTAAATAGCAGAGCACCATGAAGTTATTTCATGTCCCTGCTGTATTTCCCCCAGGCACACCAATTCTTGTTTATGATACCTTTAAGCTGTGTCCATGAAATGGGGGAAGGAAAACTTTCTCATGTGATACACTGCTGATGTAGTGCTGGTTTCCTCTGGGAGTGTTTTCAGTCTTTCAACTCCATGGAGGATCTGAATTTTCTGAAGATTTCTAAGCTGGAACCTGCCCAGATAACCCTTCTACTGTGGTCCTCTCTGATTCCCTTCCTCATACCCACTCTTCTACAATACACTCCAGAAGACAGTGAGGGTGGTGTTTCATGCCAAGCATTTCTCTCTGGAATACCCAGGTTCAGAAAAGCCCAGGAGTCTAACCAGGAAACAACTGGTATGCATATGCTTAGCCACACCTTGGAGGGAGTGTGCCTTTAAATGTGCCCATCTCTCCTGTTTAACCACAACACATTCCACCCCCGTGTCTGGTGTTAGATGTTTCAGAACATGCTCAGCTCACCATTCCTAGCACTCACACATTCTAGAACATACATACTTATCATCTTTGAACAAACCCTCTAATGCTCCCAGATCTATTTAGCTTGGAAAGAGAGTGAGAAAGAAGAATGTTACTTGCTCCCATCAGGAGGGTGAGGAGATAGAAGGTAGCATGGATATCAATGCACCTTTATATTTCTCTCCATGGAACTCCTCCCCTTGCCAGTCTTCATCACTCTAACAGATCCTCAGTTGCCTATGTGGTAAAAACACTACAAAAGGTTGCACAGTTTCTTAGTTTTGTGCTTTTATGAAAGGAATAGTTACACCTTCAAAGTTGAAGGGTAGAACTAGAGGCATGTAACACCAGAGAATTTGAGTCTACCTTTGAAGAGCAATAGGCAGAAACTAAACCAGATTGTCTTAACTCTGAACCTGGGTTGATCAAGAGGACCAAATGTCCGGAGTCTTGAACATGAACTGATATGAAAAGGCACTATAACCCTTAATCTATATTCACTGTGAAATGGGGACTAACAACTCATATTGGGAAATATTGAATGAATTTAGCATAATGTCTGTCATAAATTTTTAATATAACATTCTTCTTTCAGGGCAGATGCTTCACATTTTATTTATTTTTAAACTACAATTATTAACACATAGTAACTGCACAGATGACCAGCATCCACTGTGACATTTTTGCACATGCCTACACTGTGCATCGATGCCATTATCTACTTTCCTGTGTTGTTTCCTCACTAGTCTCTCCACACTTTCATCATCCCTCTTCAGATTTCCTTAGATTCCTACTTACTGTTTCAGGCCATCGTCATTGTTTCACATATGAGGGGAAGCATGCAATTCTTCTCGTTCTGTGCCAAGAACATGTCACTCAGTATGATACCCTACAATAATATCCATATTCCTAAAAGGAGAGGATTTCATTCTTCTTTATGACAGAACCTACTTCAGTGCGCATTTGGGGCCCGCTCCAATCAGTCTCCATATGTTAGTTTTGTCAAAGTTACCATGAATCACAGCCATAACATAAAACACATCATTTATACAGTCTCAAGGATAAAATCTCTTGCCATGAAGTGTTGTTGTATGACGTCACAGCTCTTTAGTCTTGTTTTCTTCCCCATATTCAAAGAGGAATAAGTTAGAAAAGATCAATTAGTAGATTTACTTAAAGCATTGCTTGTATAGTGCGTTTCCAACCATGACTTTAGTTGCTACCATTGAATAGAACAACCTGGAGAAATAGCTGACACAGCGGGTCACTGGCCTTAGCAACCTGACCCCAAAAGATTCCAGCTGTCAGCTTGACCAATACCTGATGGGAGATGTCATTCTGTATATGTTTCTCATACTGGTTAATAAATAAAGCACTGTTGGCCAATAGGAAAAGAAGACAGGAGGGACTAGGAGACAAGGAGGAAATAGGAAGTAGTAAGGAGGAGTCAGCATGGAGAGATCAGGGAGACCAGATGCCTGCCCCACTCCCGGGTAAGGAGACCACGTGGAAATACGCAGAAATGGGTTAATACTTAAGACAGAGCTAGCCGATAAGAAACAAGTAACTGGGCCAACAGCATTGTATCAAATACAAAGTCTGTGTGTATTATTTGGGGCTGGCGTGGCGGCGGGCGGAAAAACCGTACTCGTTACAAATACCTTCTAAGACAGAAGGCTGACTGCCATGCGTGCTTCTGTGAAATCTCACTGACTTACCTGCCCCACCTTGTGGTTTTCCAGTATAAAATAGGAATTCAAACTGGACCTGATATAGAACCCTTTCTGGAGTTATCCTGGCTTCGGTTCATCGAGGACATCACCTCTGTACCACTCTTACTGGTATTGGACTGCTTATCATAGAAACATTACCAAAACAGGTCAGCCAAGCCATTCAGAGTCTCCATACAATCTTCTCTTTCTCCAACTTCTGGAAAATTCTGGTATATTTTCTAATTCTGTACTTTAGCTGATTACCACATTTTATATAAATAAAAAGACAAAAAAAAAAAAAAATACTATCCCTCTAACTCTAATTTTAGCACAGCCCTTCAAGTTTCACTAATTTTCACGTGGATTGATTCTTTCTTCTGTTGACAAACAATATTACATTTTATGAATGCCACATTATGTCTACCCATTGCTCAGTTCATCCTTTGCTCTGATTTTTACCACTTAGCAATATGAATAGTATTTTACATAGTTGTGTGAAGGTTTAGATGGGACATGTTTATTTCTCTTTTGATAGATCTATAGTAATTCTGTTTAACTATCTGAGGAACTGCAAACCTGTCTTAAAATGCCAGTACCATTATACATTCCTAAGTGATTTTAATCTGTTCTGATTTCTTTGCATCTTCAGTGATATCACTGAGATTTTAGGATGCAGTTGCCCTGGTAGGTGGGAAGAAATTGTGTTATGGTTTTGCCTGGTAACCTAGAGTTTTACTGTGCTTCTTTTCTGTTTGCACACACAAAGAAATGTCTCTTCATATGCGTTGTACACTCTAGCGGGTTTGAGTTTATCTTCCCATTTAGTGCTTCACACAGTTGGCATGGATGTTTCCTTCCAGACATGTGATCTGTATTTCTTATTTCTTCACTTTCTTGGTGTTATGCTTAGAAATATAAGTCTTCAATTTTAATTGTGCTTTTTCTCTAAAATCCTTTTTTGTTTGTTTGTTTTTTGGTTTCTCTGTGTAGCCCTGCCTGTCCTGGAAGTCACAGAGATTCACCTGCTCTGCCTCCAGAGTGCTGGAATTAAAGGCAGGTGCCAATACACCAA